TCTTGTAGCTCTTAATAAAAACAGTGGGTGCTTATCTTACTCTAGAAATTCAAGGGATAACAGACTCAAAGTTTCATCGTCAGTTTGCAGACGAAGATGATTGCTTCCCGGATCAGGTGTATGTGTCTGATAAAGATGGAAGCAAACAATCAACTTCCAAGTCCATTTTTAATATGGATGTACCTTTGCAGCAGGACAGTGCTTTTGATCAATATTTAAAGGAAGAACAGCAGAAGAAGGTCATGTCGGGCAGTGCAAGATATAATACCATGCAGGTCTGTAGGAGAACGTCTGTTTGTATTACACTGTACATGACATACACATTCACTGACAAGGGATGTCACTGGAAAGTTCTATCCCTGTAATCACTAGTGGAATAACAATTATTCCTTTAGTTGGCAAAAATCCAATCCTTGAGAGTTCAAATTTGCCAAGAATTGACTTTAAAGAAAGTTACTTTTTATAAATACAGTAAAGCTTTCCTTTCATGTCATGTAAATTGACTGTGTATAACTGTTCATCTATCATTATCTATCAGTGCAGCTTCGACTTTAGTGTACTGCTATTTTTTCTTGTCTTGGTTTATTTCCTTTCTAGGAATTCCGTAAAAGATTACCAACATATGAGAAGAAAGAGGTAAGACAGTGTTTTTTGCTGATGGCGAATCAATTTTTTCGTCTGCAATTGAGTAAATAAGTAAATTAGGGGTGGCAAATGGTAAATGTGAGACTTTGCGAGACAATGAGACTAGCATTTTTCTTTGTGAGCCCGAGACATTTTGATTTCTTCAATTGCGAGACCGAGTCTTTAAAGTGTTTTTAATGCGAACTTAAGACGTTCAGGTTCTAAGATGTTGTGATGTCATGTAACTTTATAAAAGAAAATTAAACAAAACGGTACTTAACGACTTTCTTAGCCTTGAAAAAAATTGAGACTGCGAGATGCACATAACTGCTAAAAAACTAGACTGCGAGACCCATGAAATTTGGCGAAAATTTTGCGAGACCATGGGTTTTTAAAGGACCATTCGCCAACCTGTAAATTGTTATTTATTGTTTAATTAATCCTACTGAATGGTGTTTATAACATGTTAGGCCTGCAAATGCATTTAACCCAGTAACAGGTTTATTTATACTTTCTTTTAGGAATTACTTCACCTTATTAACTCAGAGCAGGTTTTAGTTATCAGTGGAGAGACTGGATGTGGCAAAACAACTCAGGTCTGCTTCAAACCATACTGATGCATAGTTTAGCCTTTGAATCATAGGTCTGCAATACATGTGTTGTTACACTGTATAGTTTAAAATGTAGTTTAGGTCAAAATGATTTGATATGAGCTTCAAATTATTGCAGCATTCATATTTTCTTTTTCTGGTATAATAAATAATGTTTTTGTTGTCAGCCTAGGTTGATAAGTAGTGTAACCAGGATTCAGCCCAGAATGAGCAAAATTGGTTTATTTCCAGTGATTATTGCAGGTTGCTCAGTTTGTCTTGGATGATGCAATTGAACGCGGCTGTGGATCAACATGCCGAGTGATCTGTACTCAACCTCGAAGGATCAGTGCTATTTCAGTGAGTTTAGTGCTTTTTACATTTTGTATTTTTATTAATTTTTCATTAACGTATGGTTAATAGATAAGTGCTCGTACTTACTAAAATTTATTTTTCACCAGGTTGCAGAGAGAGTTGCTGTAGAGAGGGATGAAGAATGCGGTGAAAATGGTAGTGTTGGATATCAGATCAGATTGGAAAGGTCTGTGCATCATTAACTAAGTTAAACTAAGCGATCAACAGCTCATTTCTCTTAACGTTTTCACTATAATTTCAAGCAGAGAGATAACGAGAAAAAGAAAACAATAACAACCAAGATGGTTTGTCTTGTTGAAGTGATAAGTAGACCTAACCTCAAAAACAATATTGTATTGCATTTAGAAATTAGAATTTGTATTTAAGCTTGAGCCTGAAACATTGAGATGCTGTTTGAAACTTGTGTGTGATAATGGCCAAGTGCGGAAGACAGTGAAGGTGATAATGATGATAATGGCAATGATGGTTATGACTATGAGAGTGACAGTANACTGTACATGACTGTACAATAAATTATTGCATATGTGTAATTGTCCTATTAAAACTTTGCCCGATTTGATCAAAATGTAAGGATTGTTTGTCAAGATCTTTGATGGTCTCCAAATGGTAAGCGTGTTTAAAATCTGTACATGTATGTTCCATCAGTCCTGCTAAAGGAAATTGTAGGCAATAATTAACTATTTTAACTTTGAAATAACAAATTGACTTTTATCAAAGGATTAGGAACAATTCTTGAGTAAAGAAATTTGTGTTTTTCATGCATGTATGTATCTGTATAATTTGTCTATACTAGTCCCCAGACTTTATTTTTGAGGTGAATGCTAACTGCAAAGTCCTGGTCATGAGCTAGTGGGAAGGGTAGGCCTGTGTGCGAGGCTTAATAGCAGAGAACTTTTCTTTGCCCAAGGTATGAAGTTCAAGAAAAAGCTGCTGGCTTTGTCAGGAAACAACCAAAGTGGAAGCAGCATAGGGCTAGGGGGTCTAAAAGCTTTGCAAAAGACAGAAGGTTGGAAAAATCTACGGCATGGATGGCAGAAAGTCAGGAGGATGAGAAGGAGTTGGAATGGCAGCAATATCTTCACTCACTTAGAGACAGGTATCAATATTTGGGGCTATCTTATCTAGCCTGTTCCAGACTCGCCGTGAGTGGGGACAATCATAAAAGCGGGCAGGCGATGAGCAGGATCAGCAATGAGCGGGATCAGCGATGAGCAGGATCAGCGACCAACGTGCGGGATTAGCAACGAGTAGGATTCGGAAGAGAAAAGGAGAGGGTGGTCCTCTCCTCTTCTCTCCCAGACCACACTCGTCGCCTGCTCCCTTTTTCGATCATCCCCACTGACTGAGAGCCCGGAACAAGCTAATCTTATCCCAAGAACACAGCGCAATGCCCCGTCCAGGCCCACACCTGGAGCACTTAATGCAAAACAGAATTCTAGACAACAGTCACTTTGCTCAAAGTATTTCTACGTCTGTTGTCTCCTCAGATATTCACCAAGAACAATCACAACACTTCAAAACATGGATCTGGAAAGGATTGATGTGGAACTTTTGGTTCGAGTGATAACTCACATTTCNTTTTTTTCAGGCTTTAATTTCAGAACTGTTTAAGTTGGGTGTATAACTGCGACGATTAATCATGTCTTCATTACTTGATTTTGGTAACCATTCTCGAAAGCCGCCATGAAACAATCCAGTGTAACTACAAACTGTCAGAAGATGACTGCCTTGGTCATCTTATGTACAATCTAATAAAGCCACTGCTTCGTTTATTAGAGCCACGTAGTCGTCCATTTGTTGAATTTCAATCTTCCTTTCTTTGTAGTATTACTATTGATGATGTTGTATTTGTTGTGGATGCTGGCAAAGTGAAACAAAAGGTAAGTTGATTGTTTGGTGCTGCAACCCTCACCCACGTACAACTTTGGATTTGTGACGCAAAATACTTTGAGTCTCGTAGCTCTAACTAATTAGCTAAGTAGCTTATCACCGGAAAAGAAACGTGAATTAAAAGTATGGTTTTAACTGGCGAGGCGCATCAAATGTTTTCCGTCCACACCACGCTGGAGAAATTTAAAACGCAACAATCACCGGTCATTTTGGATTTGTGTTTGAGGGAAACTCGCTCAGGGAAATCACATGATAATCGTGACGCCATCATTTTCGAAAACTCTCCGTTTTCAAAATTTTTTCCGTCCACAGTAAAACGCAAAGCCGGCGTTTTCAAATTACTCCGGTTTGGAAAGCGTTTTCGAAAAGCTCCGTTTTCGTGACTCATTTGTGTGCAAGGTAGGCCTAACCGTAGAAATAACGCTCTATTTTCAAATTTCTCTAACGTAATGTGGACGGGGCCTTAGCAAAACATGTGTTACATGCACGGAGGCGCCTCTTCAGATTCTTGGTCGTGCAATCGCTTGTAGTGTCATTTGAATTGCAAAGTGAAGTCAAATTAAACTTTTTTATTCGCCAGACGTATGATGTGAACAACAAAATTGCCTGTCTACAGCCGGTGTGGATCAGTAAGGCTTCAGCACGGCAAAGAAGAGGCCGAGCTGGAAGGTACAAACAGTACGATAACCGCTGTAATATGCACGCTCTGATTGGTCAATTAAGGTTGTATTATACTATATCATACTATGTCATACTGTAAAAATTCATAGCCCGGAGAAACCGTTTTAGAACGACTCTGATTTTTTTTCCCGTCCGTAAACCGCTGTAAATACCTCTTCTTTTAGGAATTGATATTCGTTCTCAAAGCCAGCAGTTTCCTGAACGAAAATATAAGGAGAACTGCGATATATAAGGATAAGTACTCTCTCCTTATCTTCCTTGTATTTCCTGCCCCCCTCCCTTGCATACAGCTTTAAAAAGATATTGAAACACCAGCATAATTTTCGATGATTTTCAAAATTGATTAAACGCATCTAGCTTTTAGAATTCGACAAGTATTAGACATCTTTAAGCGTTCGTTCGTGAAAAAAATTTTGATGTTTAGATTAGTACTGAGTTCAACAGCAGTGTTTTCGTGTTTTGGCGTCTGTCGTTAGTACTATTTACAAGATCAATCGACAGGTAGAACAAAAAAGATTACACTATGGGTAAAAGAGTGCTGTTAAATTATTTCAACAGAGTGCAGCCTGGGTACTGCTTTCATTTGTTCACCCAACCTCGTGCCCAGTCCCTTGACGATTACCAGCTGCCAGAGATGTTGCGAACACCTTTGGAGGAACTTTGCTTGCAGATCAAGGTACACGCACGCATATGTACGCTACTGAAGTTGGAGCATTTTTAGTCATGCAGATTAGCTGTAGGAAACAAGGGTGCCTAATGCAGAGTGCTTCGTATACTGGATCGTGCGTTCCAGCTTCGAGCATTGGTCGCCGTGACCGTCTTTGTGTTGTGTTCTTTGGCAAGACACTTCNTTCAGGGCTGGGAGAAGGCTTCGCTACAAGGAAGCGAGAGAGACTACTGCTGGACAAATTTCCTGTCTGCGAACACTATGAAGGTAATTCCGTGTTTTGTTTCCAAGCGTTATTAAATCTGGTCGTTATCACGGCCAACCTGCGTGATAAAACTGAATGGTCCCCCATATTTAGTCGACCTCTTCACCTGATGAAGACTGGCTTTAAGCAGTCGAAACATCCCGGTATACATCACAAGTGACCACATTGTGAGACAAACGGCATACTTTCAATAAACTTTGATTAACTTTTTCATTATTACATCGAAATATTCACTCTCCTTAGGGATCACTTGACGTTTTTATCTTATTTCAGATGATTAAAGACATGAAGAAACAGTTTTCCGGACTATTGTATGAAATTGGTTTCCTCGATTCTACAAACCCCACGGCTTTTTCCGCTAATTACAATTCAGGTATTTTTGTCTGAATACTTGTCTTCTTGTGTGCTATTTTCGATAGAATTAACGGCCAGCAGTAGATGTTGTTAGCTGGGGTAGCCTGTTCGTGTTACGAATGTGATACCGCGTTTTTACGAAATGAGGACGATGACGATGACAAATTTCGCGTCTCTTTTTCCATTATATTCTCATATTTAACTTTATATTTCCTACGTTGTAAAATAGCCCTCAAATCTTTTGTGAACAAATTGCGTCCCTCACCGCCAAGTTTTCTCACGATCCGACTAGAGCAAGATGTACTAGTCGCTGTGTTGAACACTCTGTAAACTCGTTTCACTGGTCGATAGATCTCTTTTAGTCCTCCTTCGCCTCGCCCCGAGTTTCCGCGCAGACTAACTCTTGTAGTGCACGCGTGTATGCGCGGTTCACTCTTGTACGAGTGGGTTTTGCGGTCCACTGATATCGTTTTTTGTTAACGTAACTGTCGTGTTTTTTTGTAGAGAATTTAAAACTTGTTAAAGCCATACTGTGCGCGGGGCTGTATCCAAATGTTGCTAAATTAGAACATCATTCAAGGCTAAAAAGGTAAGCATTGTCATAATCTTTACTGCGTTTGTTTCTTTGAATAATGATGATGATAATGACGACGACGGCGACGATGACAATGACGGTTATGTCATTTGTATTAAGATCCTCATACTAATGGTACCTTGCTTACTTGGTCACGGAAAGTCATCAGTGCAATTTAAGACTCTGAGGGAGTGAAACTGTTAACTATATGAAGCGAAGTGTTGGACATTTATACGGAGACATGGGGAAGCTGCAGTCCAGATACACAGGTTTTGGTAATTTGAGGATAACTGAACGCACGAGTTTGAAAGTGCACTTTTATGGCACTGAAGAATTTTTCTTTTTCGTGTTGTTGTTTCACCAGACCTCCAATTATTCGAACACAGCAGGATGGCAGAGTGTGGCTTCATCCCAAATCAGTCAATGCTCAAGTCACAGTTTTTGAAGACAACTGGTTGATTTATCATGAAAAGATGAAATCATCCTCGGTACGCTTACTGGACCTCCTGCTTGAAATTGTGATACATAGTTACAGTGCACATGCATAACCTGCGTGCAGTCTTCGTGTTTAATTCACCTAGCTGGGTTCTTCCACTTAGAAAGAGAATTTGGCGTCTGCGTGATAACTTACAATTAGTTCTCTGTGGAATGTGTANCCCTTGACCATTTCGACATGGTTGGACCTGGCAAAGTCCCAGGCGCTATAGTTCTTCCTCACCGTACCCTGGGTGCCAGAGGGTTTTTTCGGTCCTCGCGAAAAATACAACCTTTGGCACTGAGGGTGGGTTCACCACCACGGCAAGGTGAACTGCTAGCAGTCACTCTTTGGAATCATTCGATTCAGTACACTAAGGAGTCGGACTCTCGTCTCCCACTGACTGAGCATGCGGTGTTTGTCAGAAATTTGCTTAGCAACAAGACGAATTCTTATGACGTTATGTTGACGCGAGTGCTTGCGTTATTATTTGATTTGTTAAGAAGTAATTGGAAACCCTTCCAGTGCTCTCACGAGGATTTGCATAAAGCGCACCTGTCATGTAGGCTTCATTTTCGTAGGTTTAATTGACATTTTATTTATTTCTGGTTCTTCCTGCCCAGGAGTTACGAGTCGAGCTCGACAAATTGTTGAGACAAAAAATAGCTCAGCCTGACATGAAGCTAAGCGTGGGGACTGGTACGGATANGGGTTCACCACCACGGAAAGGTGAACTGCTAGCAGTCACTCTTTAGAATCATTCGATTCAGTACACTAAGGAGTCGGACTCTCGTCTCCCACTGACTGAGCATGCGGTGTTTGTCAGAAAGTTGCTTAGCAACGAGACGAATTCTTATGACGTCATGTTGACGCCAGTGCTTGTACTATTATTTGATTGGTCAATAAGTAGTTGGAAACCTTTCCAGTGCTCTCTCGAGGATTTGCCAAAAGCGCACCTGTCATGAAGCCTTTATTTTCGTAGGTTCAATTGACATTTTATTTATTTCTGGTTCTTGCTTCCCAGGAGTTACGAGTCGAGCTCGACAAATTGTTGAGACAAAAAATAGCTCAGCCGGACATGAAGCTAAGCGTGGGGACTGGTACGGATAACAAGGAAAGTGCTCTACTGCGAGCCATTATTGACCTGATCACCAGTGAAGAGAATACAAACTGGGTGAGGGACTGGACCGACACCCGCTATCTTTGTCACTAGCTAATTAACTAATTGTAGTCAGTTTTTTATGCGTCTGTCTTGTTATTGATCATAAATTTCGTCATAACACTGTCATAGAAGCTGAGGTCCGCTGACTATTTTGACAATGTTATGACGAAAGTCATGGTCAACAACAGGACAGGTGCATGAAAAACTTACGTCCACTTTTTTTTTTCTTTTACAATAAATTACAAATTCATGTGTCTGTCCTCTTATTGCCCATGAAAATTTTCTGCAGTTATTGGAAAATAGCCCATCGCAGGACTACTCCTAAGCACTTTATCGCAGGAGATAAAAAGCTGTCGTTGTTTTGCAGTTGTTTGGGCACAAGACAAGCTTTTTGCCTATTCTTCACCAAGTAAAATTAGTATGTTTCCGTTTTGGGTGATAGCTGACGGCTCATAGGTTAGCCCAAACTTTTATTAAACTTGTTTGGTTACAGTTTTTATCTCTCCATCCAAGCTTATGCATTGTTGTGTTTTCTTCTTTCTACAGAAAAGACAAAGAGCTCTCGCCAGTAAACCCGAAGAGAGTTACTATTAAACTGCTTTGTGTCGTGAGACAAAAGAAGCACCAGAGGGCTACCAGAGGGAGTTTATTCACTGCATAGCTGCTTGCTTCCTCTCTGAAGCAGACACTAAGATACGGTCTGTCGGACTTCAACCCTGAACTTGCGCTCAGACTAAGGCGGACACCTCTCTTGTGTGCCTTACACTGTCCAAGCTAGTACCAAATATATAGCTTCACAAAGACTTTGGTTTGGTCCGTGCAGTAGTTTAACTGGAACAATCCAGAGAGGATGATCTGCAAAGCTCTTGGCTCTCGCAATTTGTTTTGTAAATAAACAAGACGAACAGACGATAACTGATACTGGAGAGTCAACTTGAATATTGATTTTCGAGAAAAAAGATGTTTGTGAAAAGCCAAAGACTTATAAGAAAAGTTTTAAACTAACAGGAAATGTAATATTTGTTTGTAACATTACGGAAATAGTAAACACACTCGTGGAAAAGATGATACTGTTAGCGTCACCCCTGGTCAGTTCGAGTTCATCATTTAATTAAGGGGGGAGTTTCACGGTTTGGCGCATACCCACGCTTTCGCGTGAGAATAAAGTAACTTCGCTTTTTTTTTTTTTTACTGAACCACATGTACTTTAGCAGTCACAGTCAAAGCAGTCACGGGATTGAGTACTTACAAAAGGAATGCTAATGAGAACTCTCACATCTACCGCAGCGTTTTGGCGACTGACCTCGAAACTGTCAAAGAAAAAGCTCCCGCAAAAATTGGTTGTTTATTAAACAATGAAATCGTATGGGCTAATGTTACAGCTTGCACATGCACCGAGCCGTAAAACTATAACCTTTGTAAACAGGGACGGCGGAGCCGGGAGGACTAGAGGGCTTTAGCTCCTCCCCAATAAATTTCACGGAAAAAGATACATAAAAAAACAATTTTACAAATATCTCCACAACACCCACCACGCCCCCTCCCCCCGCGTTCCAAATTCAAAATACGCTCTTTCACGCGAATGAACGCGGCAGACTGAGTACTAGACATGGTTGCGAGGTAACGGCGGTCAGTTGGAATCGACTAATTAAAACACTGGTCAAAATGGCGGAAAGATAGCGTCGGTAAATACTGTAATGTTGTAATTTTAGCACAGAGGGTTTGGCATTTTGAGAAGGAAGATGTTATGGAGGAAAGAATAGGACCCTTGACTTTTATCTCAAACTTTGACTCGGGAAATTTGGCCCGAGTCGAAAGAGTGAAATCAGAGGAAAACAATTCCTCCAATCACGAAGATGATGGGACAACCGTGATTATTCCAGACTATGATTACAATGTTTGGACTGCTCCTGACTGTGCGGGGATGGAGTGTGAAAATCCAAACAGAACATGGTTTTACTTTGGTGTTAGAGGGGGCCAAGCAGGAAAACTTTTAAGAATAAATGTCATGAATTTGAACCGACAAGGCAAGTTATACAGCCAAGGCATGGCCCCACTGGTGAAGGCAGTCCCATCAAGGAATAAATGGGAAAGACTTAGAGATAAACCTAAATATGAGGTAAGTTTCATTTGTGTTTTATTTTCATCGGTTTTCACTAAATTTAAAGTTTGGAAAAATCGCGAAATATAATTAGTTTAATTGATAAAGTTCAATTGATTAAGTTAGGCTTAATTGAAGAGGATTGTTGTTGAACACGTCTGCAGTTAATTGCTTTGTGATCTGTACCTTTTAGGTATGGTCTGTTTACAAGGTTATTTTCCTACCATACTTGTAAGACATAATATATTTTTCCAGAAAATATCAATACCCTCTCATGGGCTGCTGTCCTTTGACCTTATAAACTCCAATTATAGCGTATCCCAGTTATATTTAAGCAATAGAGCACTTCTTTCCATGGTT